TATATTAATAATTCTAATTATATTATATCTACTAACTGGACAGTATTTTTTTCTACCCACAGTTACTATATGCCTGAAAAGAAACAAAAATATGGCTGTTAATAATAATTAAAAAAAAGTCATTAATCTCCGGTGTTTAGAAAGCAGAATGAGACCATTTGGAAATTTTAACCTATCATTTTATCTTTATTTTCTTTTTTACACTATGTTCGTCCGAACCCTACTGAGGACCCCCAGCGGTTCCCTGGAGGTGAGATTGATTGTGGTCTAACCTTGCTGGCAGAAGAGTCCAGCAGAGCCTAGTGGGCACTGGCATGTGTATCCATCAGGAAGGGGCACACAGGTGGCGCCGCGAGCACAGGAGGGCGGTGGGATGTGCTCAGCATCACAGAACGACACTTTCTCTGAGCAAAGAACACCTTTCCATCCAAACACACACTGACAGCTGGAGGGGAAGGCCAAATACAAATGATTAATAATGTTTGTCAGTCATTCCCGCGCACAAACAGGTGCTCGTTCTGAAGTGAATGTCTTACTGCACAGAGGATCCAGAGTCCACACAGGTGCCTCCGTTCCGGCAGATGACCAAGCTGCACGGATTAACACCACACTGCCCCACATTACGTCCTGACGCTGGCCTGCCCCCTGGCCCTCCTGGAGGATGAAACTTCCCATCTCGTCTCGTCCGGAACAGCAGATCGAAAATGCAGCCTTTAAAGTCAAAGATAGAGAGAAAATCCTGGCATTATTTACTCACCCATTGAATTGGCTCTATCTTTCTCTCTCCTCTCCACCTGTAGCTGGTGTGTGGTGAGCGTACTGGCGCTGTTGTACTGTGGCTGCCGTCACATCATTCAGGTGGATGCTGCACACTGGTGGTGGTTGAGGAGAGACCCCTCCATATGATTGTAAAGCGCTTTGGGTGTACAGCAATACACAATAAAGCGCTATATAAATGCCTCATTCATTCATTCACTCTCATGTTCATGGTAACCAGGGCTGTATAGCAAACAAAAAGCAAAAAAACTAAACAAAACAAAAAACACTAAAACCACTTTGAAAATAGTCATTACTTGTGCATTATTCACTTGTGCATTATTCTGATATAAGCCATATGATAGTATTGTGTGAGGAATAGAGTGAAATATACAGTATCACAAGATTTTTTTAAAAAGAAATTTCTATTTTTATTCAGCAAGAATGCATTAAATTGATAAAAAATGACAGTAAAGACTTCCATAGTTACAAAAAATGTCTTTCAAATAAATGCTGTTCTTTTGAACTTTTCTTTTGAAAGAATTCTGAAAAAATCCATGTTTCCACAAAAATATTAATAACTTTTTTCATCATTGATAATATGTTTCTTGAGCACCAAATCAGCATATTAAAATGATTTCTGAAAGAGCATGTGACACTGAAGACTGAAAATTCAACTTATCAATCACAGGAATAAATGTATTTTTTAAATTAAATATAATAAAATAGAAAATGTATTTTAATCATATTACACAACATTACTGCTTTTACTTCTGATCAAATAAATGAAGGAATAAATGACTATTTAAAATATATTAAAATAGAAAATAACAATTGTAATAATGTTTTACTATATTAGTTTTTACTGTAGTTTTGCTCAAATAAATGCAGATATTTGATCAAATAAACTTTGAAAGAACAGACTTCCTTCCAAAAAAAAAACAAATTACTGACCCCAAACCAAGCTCTTCTAATCACTCTGGAGGCATCCATTGAACATCCCAGCATGCCCCAGATGCCTTTTTCTATAAGACTAGTAAAAGTAACATTCAAAAAGAGGAAACATTTGTGCCATCGCTGAAAGTTCATCTAATAAAAGCATCTAATTCCGGCACATGGCTCTCTACAGAAACAAGAAGAAAAAATAACATGACAAAGTGTGTGATTATTTTTGGAAAAGCCACCAGGGAGAAGGAGAGAGAGAAAATATGCACAAGTCCATGATGCTGAAAAAGAAAAATCTATTCTGTTCCTCTTTTTCAAATAAACAGGAAAAAAAGAATTTAAATATCCAGTAAGTGGCAGATACAGATACAGTGTTATGAATATCAAGCGACTTGCGCTCCATGAGATCAGTTCATATATTCATAGGTGGGTATTAAATTCAGATGATAATTAAATAGTCAGTCAATAACCATTTAAAATCATAATCAAGCAGTTTCAGCAATGTAATTTGAGGTTGAAGATGCCCCAAGATAGCCGTTCTGAAACTATACTTTATTTACCCAGTAGACTTCCATTGTAAGTGAATTACTGTAAACTGAGGGATGAGTCGAAATTATGTTATGTCAATTTTCAGCAAATGTTCTTTTTTTGGGTGGACTGTTCCTTTAATTCATTTTGTAGATTTGTGACTAAGTAAATGTCTTTACAAAGCTATGTAATGTAAGAATAGAATTTAGATGATTTGTTTGGTCAATACATAATTCCCATACTTCCATTTGGTTATTTCACTGCTTTATGTGTCTAAACTTTTGACGGATCAATAGTTGTTACATTTTACAAGCAATTCCCCTCAGAATGATAATGCTGACCTGCAAACACCATATTTTGTTAGCATTAAAATATATGTTTTCATAAAGCTTTGTGATGAATGATTGCACACATATTACACACAAGGTTAAGGGTCCCATCAGAGCTAAACAGAAGATCAATTCACGCACCTCACTCTATCACTACATAGATGATCCAAGTAAGAAAGACTGATTTCATCATGAACTGACAATCTGAATCAAGACATCAAACAAGACCATAATGAAAAACAGGAAAAAAAAACACACTACCTTGAAAGCTGTTCTGGAACCGAGAGCCCGCAGGCAATAGCTCAGGTGTGTATTCTTCATATCCACCCACATAAAGCTGACTAAAGGTGTTCAAGCCCACCGGTGGTCCAGGAGATGTACCCATCCTCCTGTTCTGCCCATCAACCTGTTCAGAAAAGAACAAACCAACATGACGTCAGCTGAGACTCAAAATCAGTCACTCAGAGCAAGAAAACGCTTCGAATTTCCATCCCCAGTCATTTCTCTTTTCTCTGTATGAATGTTTGTTTACTGGCTTTTTTCTTGCATTTCAAACAAATAGCAATTATTATTGAATTTTATATAAATTAAAGCGACATGCACTGAAACGGGTTGCTGTGAACAGAGCTGTTTTTGACAAGGTAAAAAAGGCGTTTTACACAAATGAATGTATAAAATGTACAGTTATTTATAAAAGATATTTCTTAAGATATTTAAGATATATATTTCCATTAAATTTTTTTCAATAAGATTAAAAGTGAAAAATTATTTATGCTTAAAAAATATAAATGATATACAGTATTATCTTAAAACTACTCTTAATATCTCTATAATATACTAAAAGTAATTTTTAATTAAAATTTTTTTTTTTACTGGTAAGCAAGATTTTATTTTTATTTCTTTAAATATTTCTATAATAATGACACTTATATTTATTGTAATATTTATAATTATTGAATTATTTATTATAAAATTATTATTATTATTTAATCATTTAAAGATGTTTAAACACTTTTAATGGTACACAAGTCAATTTTTTTTATAATCATTATGTAACAAAATATCTTTATTTTTTAAAATACATTTTCAGGATTCTTTGATGTTTGATGCGAAATGTTTCGCAACACTATAAAAAATCTTTATAATCACCTTTCGATCAATTTAATGCATCTTGGCATTGAATAAAAGTCTAAAAGTCTAAAAAACAAACAAAAACAAAAAAAAGACGGACCCAACTTTTGAATGGTAGCTTATCTAAAAATAAAATTGTATTAGCATTGAGTAGGTCAGACCAACCTTTGCTTTCTGTGAAGCCAAGTCAATATATAACTATTATTTAACAGTGCAAATATAAAACCAGAGGCGGACAAAGTACTCAACTCCATTACTTGAGTGAAAGTACAGATACCGCTGGTCAAATATTACTCCATTACAAGTAAAAGTTGTAAAGACAGATTTTTACTTAAGTAAAAGTACAGACGTACTTGCTTTTAAAAGTACTTCAGTACCAAAAGTAAATTTCCTTTTTTATCTTGATAGAAATGTAGTGGAGTGAAAAGTACAATATTTGTCTTTCAAATGTAGTGAAGTTAAAGTCATAAGTTCCCAGAAAAAATAATACTCAAGTAAAGTACCGATACTCAAAAAGTGTACTTAAGTACAATACTCAAGTAAATGTACTTAGTTACTGTCCGCCTCTGTATAAAACACACCTTCAGCCATCCGTTTTTCAGATATCTTCCAAAGTGCACTGTGTGAATATTGATCCTTGGGTTCAGGCACTCACTGATAATTGTTACCAACCCCGAGCCGAGATTATACTTATGAACAATCCTGCCGTTCCGCACCCCCAATGCGAAGAAGTCGTCTCCACTGATGCCTTCATAAAAACAATAACCCACAGAATCCAATTAACACATGCAGTGGGGACCAAAAGTCTGAGAACATATTGGAAATCTAGGATTTTTGTTCTCGTCAGTTTAAACCTGGAAATAAACCGATTAAGGGTTTTGAAAAATGCATGAGGTAAAATGAATCACTAATTTTGATGTGGTCACTAATCACTCAATTACTATGCAAAAAAAGTAATAAATTAGAAAAGTATGTCAAATTGAAGCATTTTCACTGGTGGTCCAGGTCAATCCGGCCATCTATAAAATGTAATTTATTTTTCTTTTGAGCTGATGGATCTAACGCTCCAATTTATCTGGCCAATTATCAGGTGAATAGTTGCCTTCTCATCCTCTCTGATACCTTCTTTTTGATTTTGTCCTCCACTGTGCTGCACGGCTCCCTTGACAATTGCTTCATTATTCATAGCGCTGTCCTCTTCTCTCTTTCCCTCGATGAATCATCCTAAACTATAATCCCAAGATACACTCGCTGAACTGAGGAAGATTCATACCCCCTTACGCTTTTATTCAGCTGCCTGTCTTTTGATTAAACATGTTCGTAGCAGTGACGTGTCAGTTAGCAGCCACTGAAACTGACCTTAAAATAAATTGCCGATGGTGGCGGAGGAAATCAAGGCATGAGGAAACTTGACCGAGATGCTGCGTCTCTCAAAACGACAGTTCTTCTTTTTAACGCCATTTTCATTTGATTTGTTGGTTTTTGTTATAAATATACATTTCTACATTTAGAAAAAAGCCTGTCAACTCTGCATACAATAATTTTCTTAATCAGTTTCTTTTGTGTGTTTTCAAGTAACAATATGCCTAAAACAACATATTTATTTTAGGAGCACAATTTTACAAATATGCTTCATAAAATATTTCCCAAAGTTTTTTTTTTAATAAGATTGGATTTTTGCTTAAAATTTGATATACAGTATTCTCTGAAAAAAAAAAACTACTCTTAATATATCTTTATAATATCTACTTTCTCAAGCAATTTATAATTAAAAAATATGAAACTACTTTTTTTAGCTGTTAAGCAAGACATTTTTAGATCAATGTATATAATTATAACATTATTAAAGTAATAATTATTATAGTGCTGTCAAAATAATTATTACTCATACTTATCTACAATTTAAAGATGTTCAAATGTTTTTATTGGTAAACAAGTCTGCATTTATTGTATTTATACAATAAAT